GGCAGAGCCGGGGACAGGACTCTGGGACCTCTAGACCCCACAGCCCTGCTCTCACCACCAGGCTGCACTGTCACTGGAGAGAAAATATTACCAGAAAGGGATGCCACTCAAAATCACAACAAAAATAATGAAACACCAATAGTAAACTTCATACGGAGTAAGACCTACAAAAAAGACCCTGAAACGTTACTAGACAACTTACGTAAACGGGATGAGCCCTGCTCCGGGGTGGGAGAGTGCATCACAGTAAAAAGCCCAATTCCCCGACTTCTCCCTAAAGAACTTGTAACGACAGACAGGCTGTTCCGGTGGCCCAGGATCTTGGCAGGAGCTTTCACTATCCCTTCATTGGCTTATTTTTTGTTCATTCCCACCCGAGGATATTTTTCCACCGATTTTTTTTAGAGAGAGTGGAAAAGGGGGAGAGACAGAGAGGAGAGAAACACTGATGTGAGAGAGAGAGACAACGATTAGTTGCCGCCCACACGAGCCCTGACCTTGGTTGGGGATGGACATGCCTGTAACTGAGATGCGTGCCCTTGACAGGAATGGAACCCAGGGCCCTTCAGTCCACAGGCCGATGCTCTATCCACTGAGCCAAAGCAGCTAGGGCTCCCCATCCCTTTAAATAATGGCCTATGAGGCAAGTGTAGACATCATTAGTCCCATCTATCAAATCCCTGCCCAAGGTCCCTGGAAAGAAGGGGCAGGAGCTAGGATTCAAGCTCAAGTCTGGAGGCCAACTGCCTAGACTAGTGATGGCAAACCTTTTGAGCTCGGCGTGTCAGCATTTTGAAAAACCCCAACTTAACTCTGGTGCCGTGTCACATATAGAAATTTTTTGATATGTGCAACCATAGTAAAACAAAGATTTATATTTTTGATATTTATTTTATATATTTAAATGCCATTTAACAAAGAAAAATCAACCAAAAAAATGAGTTCGCGTGTCACCTTTGCCACGCGTGTCATAGGTTCACCATCACTGGCCTAGACACTATGTTCAGTCAGAGGCAACCAGACTCCCTCCAGGTCTCCCCTAAGACTGAGATAAAAAAAAAAAAAAAAAGTGCTACATTTTTGTTTGTTTGTTTGAAATGTCTTTATTTTTAGAGCAGTGTTAGGTGTACAGCAATACTGAACGGGAGGCAGAGATTTCCCACATACACCTGCTCCTGCATAGCCTCTCCCATTATCACCATCCCCCACCACATTGGTTATAATTGATTAACCTACACTGATGCCATCATTGTCCCCCCAAATCCATAGTTTACATTAGGACTCCTCCTCGTGTACGTTCTGTGGGTGTGGACAAATGTATAATGACAAGCACCCACCATTACACCTTGAGGATTTTAAATGAGGGGTGGGAGATCGCTGTGCTAGGGAGTGGGTGGGGGCGAGGAGTGACCAGAGACCCCTCCTGGGCCAGCCACACCATCAGGAACATGGGCAGAACTCGTCCTCTGGGGCTCACGGGCAGAGCTCACTCAGGTGGCTCAGGCTCGGGAGGCAGCCAACAACCGCATCTTCCCGGCAGGGGGAGAAGGGGCCCGGACCCCCCACCAGCGTCCAGTAGGAAGCTCTGAGCATGTGCCCTGCATTCCACGCTGTTGAATCAGGGCGCACTTGGATCTTTAGCTAATGGGAGGATTTCTATTCTGGTACTAAGAATATCAATTTGACACCTTCAAATTCTTTCTGATGAAAGGGAATTTCAGACAAAGTCTGCAAGGAGCAAGCGGTACTGAGCAAACAGACACTTATCCTGAACAACGGGAAAGCAGAGACAACTGAGAATGTCAGAGGCTGTGTACTACTGAGCTGGCATCGGGACAGAAGGGAGGACCAGTAGCAGACAAGACATACCCGCGGGGCCAGGTGCTGGCGGGACTACAGAACCTGATGGAAGGCAGAGCTAGGTCTCTGCAGCCCCGCCCCTCTCTGAGCCCAACTCTTGCATCATTAACACCTGCTTACACTCTGTCTCCTGAGGCCAGCGGCTCTCACCAAGGGCGAGAAGCATGTGCGTTAATCACAATCATACTGGGAGAGAAAAACATCTGCAACAAGATGATGAATCTAATGTCTCCAGTATACAAAGAGCATCTAGAAATCAATAAGAAAAGTGGACAAAGGGTCTGAGGGCTAAAGGGAGACCTTTCTCAGAATACACGCCCCTTAACACCTCAAACAGAACTCCTCTCAAGAACTTGGAGAACAAGAGGAAGTGGAAAGAAATGAGGAGGATACAATTAGACACGAGCGCCCCATCTCCCCAGCTGGTTCTGATGGGGGCAGCCAGGGCCACATGTGGTGACACACAGGCATGGTAGTTATGTGACTAAGGGAATGGGCTTTGGTTCTGAGTGTGCTCCACCACTTCCCAGCTGTGTGCAGGCGTGCAAGCTACTAAACCTCCCCAGGCCTTCGTTTTCTGAACTGCAAAAAGGACGCTCCCACAGAACTGCCGAGGCCTCTCTCAATACTCTGAGTGAAGGGTGTAGCAGTCCCTGCAGAGTAATGGCTTCAGACAGTAAGCTGCTATTAGGAATCATCCAAGACGTGGGAAAAGCTGTGCCTCGAGGCCCCAGGCTGGACGAAGGGCCTCGCAGGGACTGTTGTGTCCGTTAGACTCCAAGAGCCTTTAATAGGAACCCCCCTCCCACCCCTCCCCCCCCGCGCCCCCCCCCCCCCCCCCCCCCGGTTTGGTTGTGGTCTGATTTGACTGAATGAATGGCCTTTGGAGTCTTGAACCCCAGGGAGCTCTGAGTTGATATCAGGGCTGTTCTAGATATCCCAGGAGAAGGGGGACATTGTCTTGTTCATGGCTGGCTGTCCATTGCCAAGTACCCAGTAAGCCCTCAAAGTTGCCAAAGAGACTGGGCAGGGGACGCTTAGGAATGTGATTCTGGTGAAGAAGCAGGATGTGGCAGAATCAGGACTCACCACTGTTTGCCGAGGTCCCAACCATTCCCCTAGTGGTTCTCAACCTTCTGGCCCTTTAAATACAGTTCCTCATGTTGTGACCCAACCATAAAATTATTTTCGTTGCTACTTCATAACTGTAATGTTGCTACTGTGATGAATCGTTATATAAATATCTGATATGCAGGATGGTCTTAGGCGACCCCTGTGAAAGGGTCGTTTGACCACCAAAGAGGTCGCGACCCACAGATTGAGAACCGCTGCCCTAGAGGGAAAGCAGGGACTCTTTCCTCCGCACCCCACCCCGTAACTGTCCCCAAGAGCAGCTGCAATCCTAGCCGCACCCGAGACCCACATGATGTGTCCCAAAGCTCTGACAACATTTGGAGCTTCAGCAAATGGAGTTTCCACAGCCGAGACCTGAACAGAGCTGTTTAATGGACTGCATCTCCTCCCGCTCCCTCTAAACGCTCACGCACACAAAACCAACCGCAAGCAGAGAGCTGGATGGGATTAAACAACTCCATTTAAAAGACTGAAAACTCAGCTGCTTCCAGGGAGATCCTAGGGAAGGAACCAATCAGCCAAGCTCTTCTCTTCTTTTCTGTATTGAAATGAGGGCTGTGACTGTGCAGTGAGTCACTCTCAATTCAGGCAGAACGGGGCCAAGTCCACCTGGACTCGCACTGCAGTGGTGGGGAAAGGGAGAGAGGGTGTGTGTGCACACGTGTGTGGCTGCTTGAATACGTGTGTATATGTGGTGGGCAGGCCAGAGGGGTCAAGGGCAGATTCCCAGACCATCTGCTTCGGATTTTTCTGGAAAGGCAGAGTACCTTAGAGCAGCGGTCGCCAACCTTTCGGACCGCACGGACCACTGTCTGGCGACCGCTGCCTGAGAGGACTTAGCGGCAGACACCTGCTTGTCTGCATCTCCTTTCAGCTCAGGTTTAGGCTGAGGACAGCTGCCCTGGTACAGGGCCCCACACAAGCCTGGTACCAGCCCAGGGAGGTCCGAGGTGGCTTACTCCACAGGGAGCTGTGAGCCATGTCCCTCTTTCCCCCGTCCTCCAGCCTTGTCCACTCCCACATTCCCAGTGGGCACTGTGGGAGCCTGCAGTCAGGGACCCACATCCTCCTGGAGGACAACAGCTGCCTGGGCCCACAGCTGCCCAGGGCCTGGAGGAAGGAAGCAGGGGTGCGAAGGCACAGAAGCCAGCATCTGACCTGCAGCCTGGAGCTGGCGTGGGGAAAGACGGGATGCCACCCTGGCAAGTGGCAATGCCCCGCTGCAAATCCTGCCCCTGAAAAAGGACTCACCTACCCTAACTCCCCGGAACAGAATGCTGCGAGAATGGTGTGGGGAAAGGGGTGCAGCTGCAGGAGCCCCGAGACGGCAGAAGGGCCCAGAGCCCAGTTCCCCCTACCCCCGCCAGCTTCCCACTCGGGGTTACTCTGCTGCCTGGACTCTGGGCCAGCCTCTCCCCTTGGCACCAGCAGCTCTTGGTGACCCCAACAAAGCAAAGCAGAAGGATCCAGCTTCAAACTTGAGGTCAAAACGGAGCCCAGTTGCAATGCATATCACGACCAGCACTCAGAATGCTCAGTGTGTGCACAGCCTGGCACCGAGGCATGTTCTGAAAAGTATTTCATTCTCACCACCCATGTGCTCTTACTACCCCACTGAACATGGGAGAAAAGAGATGCAGGGTCGAGATGTGACTAGCTCAAGTGCAGGCAATGAAGCAAGGCCAGACCTAGCACTTGGCGCCTGACCCACAGTCATGCTCCCCATTGTCACTCTCCACCGCCTTCCTGGGCCAGCGAGTTCCCTGCGCAGACTGGTTTCCTTGCGGATGCCCTGATCCAGGGTGCCCACAGAGGAGGAGTCCTTATTCTCAAAGCCAAGGGCAGCAAACACAGCTTTCCCTCTGCCTGGTGCATCTTACCAGTTATGAGAACAAGGCACTTTCTGGGTGTTGATTTAAGAGAACAAAATAAGCACCTCAGCTACAAGATCCATTCAAAGGGATGGCCAGGAAGCCACGTCACAGGGGAGTGGTGTGTGGACTTACCTCGTCGGATTCATCCGACAGCGTCTGCAGGAGGATGGGGAAGAGGCTGTCTGTGTGCCGGAACATCTGCGGAGCAGAGAGCAGAGCACCGTGAGCTCTCCCTTGCTCCAGGCCAGGGGTCCTCAAACTATGGCCCACGGGCCACATGCAAATACAAATATTGTATTTGTTCCCGTTTTGTTTACTTCAAAATAAGATATGTGCAGTGTGCATAGCAATTTGTTCATAGTTTTTTTTTAAACTATAGTCCAGCCCTCCAACGGTCTGAGGGACAGTGAACTGGCCCCGTTTACAAAGTTTGAGGACCCCTGCTCCAGGCCCTGGCTCAGCTCAGACAGGGTCCCCTGCATGGACCACCTTCCCCACCCCCAACACTGATGGTTCCTCAAGCACCTGTCACCCCCCTGCTTGTCAGGGTTTCTCCAGAACTGCAATGACCCAAACCCGACCAAGCAGGGGCAAGCCCTCGAGACCAAGGTGGACCCGGAAAGCGCCCCGGGCTGGAGGGACCTCGGGGCCCACGAGGTGGGGGCTCACCTTGCGGGGCGTCTTGATGTAGAGGTGGTAAAGCCACTTGAGCACGGCGATCCGGGTCATCATGCCAATGGCCATGTCGCTGAGGTGGCAGTTCAGCACCTGCACAATCCCGTCGAGGTGGAGGGTGACGGGGGCCCTCTCTGTGCTGGGGGCGAGACCGAGGAGTTGAGGCCACGGCAGCTTCCCCAGCGAGCACAGCCCCACCCGGCCCCGCACACTCAGAACCACGTCCTGCCCGCTCTCTGGGCGTAGAGCGCAGACGGCACACACCGCCGCCAGGCCTTCTCTCTCCCTCCTGGGAACCACACTGGGAGGAAGAGGGCCAGGCTCCTGGGGCCCACCCACTCCCTTTTCTTGACCAGCACTAGCCTGGTGGTGATGACAGGAAACCTCTCCAGTGTCACTGGGCTGGGCCCCGGCAGACCTCAGCACGTTCAGTCCAGACCCTCTGTGGTAAGTACCACCGTGTCCAAAGCCCAGGAAAAGGCCCCGATGACAGCCCTTAGCCCCACAGCGCCTTCCCAAGGCACCTGGGGAACATTTCTCAAGGGAGAACAGGGACTGTGGCTTTTGCCTGTTGTCCCCCAGGGCACTCAGCACAGGGCAGCCTGAGTGAGAAGCCTTGCGTTGCCCTGAAGCTGTGACATTCCCGTTAGCCGAAGTCAGCCTCGGCCTGAGAAACGCAGCTGTGCAGAGGGACAGCTTTGTCCCTCTGTGCTTTGCTTCAGAGGGACACAGACTCGGCCTTACTGGCAGAAGCCCTGCTGGTCTCCAGGCAGGGAGTCGCGCTGGGCAGCCGAGAAGGCTGGTGCTGCTGGGACATGGGCCAGAGGCCGGAGTTTTCGGGGATGGGGCTGGCATGGGCAGGAAACCTGAGGCTGCTAGGGAGGGGCTGCTCTCCCACCGAGGCGTTACACTGCACTCGCCCACGGGTGCCACGAAGGGGTGACAGGGCCCTTTCCCGAGGACGAGGCCGGCCTCAGTTCCCGCCGTACAGAATGGCCTCCCGTGGTATTTCCAGGCTGCTCAATTATTCATTGGCACCAGGAGCTCCAGCCTGTGCTTCCCTAACTCGCCTGCAGCTTCTCTGAAGCACATTTGATGTGAATTCCTAAAGGGCACGGCTCTGAGCTGTGTAAGTGCTAAACGGAACTGCTACTTAATATGGTTTGATGGTTCCCCATAGCGCTCGTTTCGGGGGCTACCCTGGGCACTTCCATCCTCTGACAGCAAAAGGCCTGAGCCTCTGGCCAGGGCTGCCACTGAGATTTCCCCGGGAGCCCCGAGGTGGGAAGTTCCTGGGGTCTCCCGAGGACACCCAGCATCCAGGTCCTTAGTGGCCTTAGACAGACAGGGAACTCCCGCAGAGGCAGACAGTCGGGGCGGCACCCGTGGGCTCTCACCACCCTCTCACTCAACCTCTTTCATGCTCACTGTCCAAGAGAAATACAATGGGAGCCACACATGGAATTTTACGTTTTCTGGTTTTGTATTAAAAAGTAAAAAGGAACAGGGGAAATGAATACATTTTAATTAACCCAATATACCCCAAATATTACCGTTTCAACATGTAACTGATATGAAATATAGAGGTCATTAATAAGGGACCGTATATTTTTTTCTTTGAAACCCAGTGCGTTTCATGGTGACTGCACAGCTCGGGAGCCACGCGGGACAGTGGCTTCCGCATGGACAGCACAGCTCCACAGCAGCAGGCTGGCAGCCCATCCAGGGTTCCCTAAGCATTTTCTCTTTGTCTAACGACTTCCTAGACAGTCCCTCTCCCTGCCAGGATCTACTTCCTGTCTTATCTCCAAGTCCTGCTTTTCCCATCCTGCGGGCCCCCACCGGCTCTCTGCGGGGAGCTCCCTCTCAGCTCCTCTCCCTGCCAGAGGGTTAGGGGTTAGGGTTAGGGACCCTGGACTGCGGGACTCCAGGAGCCGACACAGCCCAAGGCCTCACCAAGGCAGGAGCTCGGAGGCAGTGGGGAATGAACAGAAACCAACCCTCCTCCGCCCCGGCTTCCCTCACCCCCAAGCCGGAGGTCAGGCCTGGTGAGTCCCTTTCCCCAGCAGGAGAGCCACGCTCTGGCTGCCAGCTGGAAGGAGTACCCTGTGCCTGCCCCATTCTTAGTTAAAATGACTCCCCTGGGAGGAAGGGCCTTGTGTCTACTTTCCTGGGGACTCAGAGCTGCATGGTGCAGCACTGGCATTGTCCTGAGCTGCTGGTGGGGAGGAAGGCAGGGCCAAGGCCAGCTCCCACTACTCCACTCGCAGTTCAGGCCCCGTGGTGTGTATGAACCTCGGGCTGGGGGGTGGGGGAGACGCAGGGTTCTGGTAACAATGAGGAAGATGTGATACTGGAAATGGTAACTCACATTTCTTGGGTAAACACTCTTGTCAGGCACTGTGCTGAGCTCTGTACCTGCAGAGCCTCACTTCCCTCAGAGGCCCATTCAATGTTATTCCCATTCTGTAGACCAGGAAGCGGAAGCACAGAGACATCCGTAACCTGTCCAAGGTTACACACAGGAAGTGGTGGAGCTGGCGTTCTGAATTTGGGCAGTCTGAGTCCAGGCTGGCCTTCCTGACCACACGGACCCCCTGCCCGAAAGGGCCAGGCTCAGGAGAGTCCGTGGTGGCATCGCTTCCAACTGTCCCCTGGCAGGGGCAGCAGGATGGCAGCACCACATGTGGAGGAAGAAAGGGGCTGTCACACACACTTTTCAGTGTATCTTCTTATCAGGAGGGCAGACAAAGTCTCCATGAGGGAGAGGGGACACTGGAGAAGCTGGTGTCTATGGGGGACACCCCAAGTCTAGTGATCCCCAGGCTGGACGGTCCTGAGATGCTTCCGGCCAGCTCAGTGTCTCTGAGGGCAGAAAGCAAGCATCAGCCCATGGTGGCATCTCCCTCAGGTGCCCTTTGTCAGGGCCAAATAACAAAGAGAGGATTTTAAGGAGTCTGCATACGAACTGGCATAAGAGTCTCTGACTCTTCTCACAGCAAATGCCAGCCACAGCACACCTCCCAGACGTGGGACCTTCAGGCTGCTGGAGGGGTAGGCATCAACCACACTATGTAACTGAAAGGACCTCACAGTTCACCGAACCGGATCCTTCAATGCACAGATGAGGAAACTGAGGCTGAGAGAGGCACCGAGAACTCCTTTCTCAGCTGGAGACACTCTCCCGGGTGTCACGTCCGTGACTGGCTGGAGGTGAAGGTCGAGGGAAGCAGCACACACCGGGAGACTGATCTCGGTGTCGGGAAAGGGAGAACTGATGATCCCACCTGCCTCCGAGGCGGCTCTGGGCTGCTGTGTGCTCGGCTCTGAGCATGCTCAGTGGGGAGCGAGGACCCTGGAAAGCGGGCACCTCCTGGGGAGCGCACGCTGCGTGGCGTGCTCGGCCCGAGCTGCTGGGCTGGAGCCTGACATGGGGCACCCCTGCCCTGGTTTACTCAGTTTAAAGTACGTTTCTGCGTGGGTTCCAACAAGTCTAGACCAATCACTCTTGGGGCTCCTGAGTTATTTCAAGGTGTCGCAAAGCCCCACTTTCGCTGAGCATTTTTTCATAAAGCATCTCATAACGAATGTCTTGCTTGTGTGTGTGCTACAATTTCCAAATGCATGGCGCTGCAGTGGCTATTAAAATACCTCTTTACTGAATAATGCTTCCAATACTACCTATAAATAACGGTAAATTCCAGGGGTTCTCTCTGGGAGGCAGCACTTTATTTCTGTAATGTCTAACTCTTTATAGCACTCACATGTCATATCTCAAAAGGAAGCTAAAACTGAAAAAAAAAAAGAAAAAAAAAAGAGTTGTTTCTACCTTTTTTCCAATCAGCAGATGCTAAAAGTTGGGAAACACAATTTCTAGATCCAAGTGCTTGCCTAGTTTATGTGCAGGGCCCCCGGCTTTACAGGGACCTGAACTGAATGCCCGACGACCCCATGGCCCTCAGCATCAGAGCAGAAGCCTGCTCACACGGCAAAGCCGTCCAGGGCTCCCGTGTCGGGGAGCTCACGGGCCAATGTGCAGAGCTCCTGCAGCTCTCCAGCCACGAGCAACAGAGGTTACCGCGTGGGCTCTGGAGTCAGACAGACCAAGCTGGAGTGCCAACATGGCCACTAATTAGCTGACTGACTCTGGGCAAAAGTTAACCTCTCTGGGCCTGTTTCCTTATTTGTAAAGTGGGGCTAATAACAAGGTTCTCGTGATAACAATTCCAGCAGAAAGTGTACAGTGCTTTCTGTGGGCCAGGCCCGTCCTATGCTCTGTACACGGCTCAGCTCACTTAGGCTCAGGCCTTTATGAAGTCGGTGCCATCATCACACCCGTCTCCAGACGAGGAAGCCGAGGCAGGGAGCGGCCAAGCTGTTTGCCCAGAGCCACACACCAGGCAAGGCGGAGTCAGGATGTACGCCTAGAAAGTGGGACTCCCCTACGAGAGAGGAGGACCTGCCTGGTGCAGAGAGAGAGAGAGAGAGAGAGAGAGGTGCAGGTACACGGACTCCCATGGACTAGGACAGTGGTCAGCAAACTCATTAGTCAACAGAGCCAAATATCAACAGTACAATGGTTGAAATTTCTTTTGAGAGCCAAATTTGTTAAACTTAAACTATATAGGTAGGTACATTGTTATTAACTTAATTAGGGTACTACTAAGGCTTAGGAAGAGCCACACTCAAGGGGCCAAAGAGCCGCATGTGGCTCGCGAGCCGCAGTTTGCCGACCACGGGCCCAGGACGATCCCTGTAGCCTCGGTTACAGTGACGCGTCTGCAACAGGCCCCTCTGCTGTCAGTTTGCCCTCTCCCTCACCTATCCTCCCCCGGCTGCCAGAGGGTCTTCTAAACCACAGGTCTGGCCCTCACTCCGCCGGTACTGCTGGCTCCCACAGCCCCCAGAACACAAGTCTATGTCCTCTGTGGGACACTTGTCTCCCTGCTTCTCCATCCAGACCTCACCCCACGTTCCAGAATTCGCCCCCCACACCTGCCCCCTTAACCGCTCTAGGGGATGTTCAGAGCCACCTTGGACAGAGCTCCTGACTGGCCCTCTCACTCACTTGCCCCTCCTTCCCACTTGGGAAATGACACCACGGTATCCTGATTTGGCTCAAGCCCCAAACCTAGAAGTTATTCTTTCTGTCACTTCTCTCCTTTCACTCCATCCCACTGGCAGATTCTGTCAGTTCTACCTTCAAAACAGATCTCAGATCTATCCAACTTCCTCCCTACGCTGCCACCCCTTCAGGCTGCGCCTCTAGCCCTCCTGAGCAGTCTGTATGCTCCCGAATCCTTCCTACGTCAGTTCTCTGCACAGCAGCCGGGGATCTCCTGTCCCTCCTCGGCCCTAACATGCAGAGAATAACAACACGGACCCCATGGGATTTAAACATCGGCAAAGTCTAATGATGTGACACAAAGCAGCCGGCACGGCTTAGGAAGCACGCAGCCACCGAGTGTTCATCCCCGTCAGCCACCATTCCAGCCGCAGCTCAGGCGCCATCGCTTGCCCCCAACACCGGAGTCCCCTGTCATAGCAATCACTACCCTTTCTGGTAACTTCCTGATTATTTCTCTGCCTCCCCACAGAGAACCTCAAGGTCAAAGACCATGTTCAGGGGCGGTATCTCCCCCTTGGAACCTGCACGGCTGAGCACAGGCAGGTGCTGGAGCGCACGACAACTAACTGAAACGAGTGAACGAAGGATGCTTATTGGTTTGCCTGAACAACTTGCAAATGGTCCTAGGAGTAGTGCGTGTTTGTAATCAGTACCTGCACACTTAGAAAACAGACACAGGGTCCTTAGAGAGAAGAATAAATGGAAAGTGATGTAAAAGGAGGAAGATCCTAAGGGTCTGGGGAGAACAGAGCCTCCTGGGATTGAGTGCGTTTTTCCTTCCTGAGGGACTGGTTTCTAGGCCTGAGTTCAAAGGGAAGAAACCCTTTGCAGGAGCATCGCCATCCACTCCGGCCTCACCAGTGCCCATTCCACCCAAGGAAAAAGCGAGATGGGCCACGTCCTCAGAGTTACTCCGACAAGGACAGCACGGTGACGATTTCTTCCCCAGGGGAATGCCGTCACCCTCCAGACTCCAGCGGGGGCTGGAAGGAAGGGAATGATCTCACTGCTTGGCCTGCACTGCCCCCATGTGGAAGGCTGTGCAATCACACCGACCCAGGAGCCTAGACGAGGACAGCTCCTGCTGCCCACACAGTCCGTGTCCATGCACTTGGACTCAACCAGTTGCCGCCTGTAATCCAGACTGTCTTCAAACAGCCTTCCCGTGTCAGTCTTGTCAGCCCCACATTCTCCTGGACAAGCAAAAGGTGCTGGGTAGCGGTGTCTGTAAGTGTCCTACTGCGGTCACCACGTGTTAGTTATGCTTCTGACCTCCAGGAGCGTCTAACCCCCACTCCCCTCCGACAGCTGTCTGTCCATCAGAGCTGGGTGGGGTGGGCGTTCTCCGTGTCTCAGACCCCTCATCAGGCACCTCCGGGGCCGTAAGTGGTGGCCCCACGCAGTTTGCCGCGGGTCTTCATTGCAGTTTCCTGCACCCAGAGGTCTAGGCTGCTGGCTTTCCACAAACACCTCTGGCTGAACACCCACTCACCTGGCTGGAGAGAAGACACTGACGCCGCTACTGAAGCTGGAGTCACAAGACACATCGGGGCCTCCTGGGAGAGCAAGAGGAACAACGTGTCATGCCAACGGCTGCTGGGGTCTTTCGAATGAACAAGATCCCGGTTATAAAAACACAGACTCTCGGTCCCCCACACCTTGATTCCAGCCCTTGACAAGGAACATGGCTCTGGAGCCCTGAGGACCCAAGGCCTGCTCAAGCCCCAAAGCGTGGGGAGAGGACCCAGGCTTGTATGAGTTTAGGCACGTGACCTCGCAAGGAGCGGGACCAGCACCGGACACATCCGGGAAGGTCAGAAGGGCCTTCTGGCCCGAGGGCACGGATGTTCAACGTGACTTCTGGGACGCTCAACATCGCTAGCCACCAGGGACATGTAAAGCAAAACTGCAATGAGACGCCATTTCACACCCACGAGGATGGCTAACATACACGAGAGGCAACGGTAACACCTGGTGGTGAGGACGGGGGAAACTGGAAGCCTCAGACACTGCTGCTGGGAATGGACACCAGACTGGCAACTCCCGGAAAGGCTGAACAGCTGCCAGCTCTAAGGAAGGCTGTCCCTTCTCCATTTATCTAGCAATCTACCCATCCATCTGTCTGGACCCATAGATACTTTCTTCTGTGGGTTCAAATTAAAACTATTATTACTTATATTGTTCAAATGGCACCAGCCTTGGCCTCTGAGCAGTTTTAAATTATACAAGGAAAGCCTTTTCCCACTCTAAAAATGTCAAAAACAAAGCCAAGCCGTCGCTCCTCAGCCTCTGATCGTCACTCTCCGCGCAGGAAACTGCTGAACCAGTTAGGCAGGTGCCCTCTCATCTTTTGCTAATCCTCCTTTCTGTTTTGGAAACATAAACGGAATCAGAGACTGTCTTTTGTTACTTGCTTTTTTCACTTTGTACTATGTCTTAGAGCGATGCCATTCTAGGTATGGATGTGAAGCTACCCTCACCTCCCTAGTAAGGGGACCTTCATTTCACTTTAACAGAAAATCTGAGCTGAGAGAACCTTTGGGGGATGTGGCACAGCGCGGTGGGGGCAGGAAGGGCTGGGCATGAGCTGGACCTGCTGAGCAGCCCCAGGGACAGGGAGTGTGTGGTGAAGGGGAAGGGGGGTAGGGGCAGGCCGGCCTGGACCAGTAGCCTGGAAAAGCAGCTGGAGCTCCATGCCTCTGGCAGCCTCTTCCCTCTTGTCTTTCAGAAACACACCTATTTATAGATGAAATGATGTGATGTCGGAAGCTGGCTTCCAATTAATTTCGATTGTTTCCTAATTTCATTTACATCTCTCCCGTGCTTCCTTATGCACGAGGGTAAGCATTTCTCCAGGATCCCATGAACACGGGGGCTGCTGGTAGAATGTTCAGGCATCTGACACCCCAACAAATATTGCCAAGTGCCCTTTAGGAAGGTCCTACCGATATATATTCAAGAATGGAGGCGTAGTCATTCCCACAAAGCCCCACAGGGATACCAGTAATCTTCTAAATGTTTGCCAAGCCGAATAAAAACCATACATTGTTTTCCTTTGCAATTCTGGGACCCCAGTCAGGCCAAGCACCTTTGGCTGCCCTTTGTATTAATTTCCTTGCCAGAGAACCGCAGTGTAAACATCGCTATGAGCAGAGACTCTGAGGCCCCTGGGGCTGGGTGTGAGCCTGACTCCCCTCTTTCTGGCTGTGCGACCCTTGACTTTTCCTCACCTGTATAATGGGGTGATGACAGTGTCAACACCACAGGCTTGCTATGACCATAAATGGGCTACCATCTGTTAGGTGTTTAAAAGGAAAAACCTTACCTATTTATTTCCTAAGAAAGAAATTCTTAAATAGTTAAGGCCTTTGATGCACGCTGCTAAATATATTTGCCAGACAATATATTTAACTTGTTTACTTTTTGCTTTCACCCAGTAGGAATGTCTCTGTTTCTTCCCCAAAATCTCTACAGGGAACGTGTATTTCCTTTATAATTAGAGTATAAAATGGGGGTGAGGATGGGGGGAGAGTGGAAGCTAAAGAGAAAGAAAGGATCCAGTTCAAATAACCTCCCTGAAGCCTGGCAGCTGGCCCTGTGATCATGCCCAGAGTCACATGGTGACTCACCTGCAGACCTGCCCTGAGCTCCTGCAGGCAGGTTCCAGGCCTCATCGCCTGCATCTGCAGAGCCCACAGGAGGTGCTGACACACCCACTGCATCAGAACTCTGCAATGGATGGGCCCATCACATGCTGCCCAGTCACCAGCCCTCCACGGGAGCCCTATTTATAGCTCTGCTCCTCACTTGCCACATGAACCTCAATCCCAACCCTCTCCGTTCCCTCCTTTAGGACCCAGCAGGGGCCCATTACCACCTGGGCAAGGCTGGTGATAAAAACAAGGGGACACTGCTAAGGAGATGATCTATTATAACCGGAAGGAAAGCAACCAGACACTAAAGCGCCCGTAACTGAGTGCCTCTCTCATGTGCTAAGAGCTTTACATGCAAAGCTCTTGTCTGAAACTCGCCATCACCCTGCGGGCTGTGTTATCACTGCTGCCCTCTTCAACAAAGATGGAAGCTGAGGCACAGAAAGACCAAGCCACTGGCCCAAGGCAACAGACAGGTAGTTAATAGAGCTGGACACCGGCAGGCGGTTCTGGCCCCAGAATCCAGGCCATGACACCTGCGACAATTGGGGAAGTCACGGAGAGGGACAGGGAAGACACATCACGTGCCACAGGAACTCAGAGTCAGAGAGGGACCCTGCCCTGGACCCCCACCAGCAGCAGGGCTGCGGGAGAGCCAGAGAAAGCAGAGAGGCCTGGGCGCAGTGTGGCACCCACGTGAGCCTGCCCGACCGGAGCCTGTGGAGAGGCGAGGGAGCAGTGTGCGTGAGTTGTGTGTGTGAGTGCGTGCTCGCCCACAGAGGGCCTGGCGGACAAGCCTCCCGTGGGTGTGGCCCAGAGGCGTGCCGTGGGACGCAGCGACAGACTGAGCCAGGAGGGAGACACAGGTGAGGGAGAGCAGGCAGGAGGCTCTTGCCTTCTCCAGGAGGACCCGGTCGGAAGAGAGGAACAGAACAACTGGAGGAAGGGCGCAGGCTGGGATGCACCCGTCAACTAGTTAAATCCTCACTCTGCTGGCCTGCTGGCACCTTCTCCTGGCGCCTTGGTAAAGTGCTGGTTAGTTACAAGCAGGGCTGGAGTGGATGCGGAGCCCAAATTAGCTGTTGCCATCTCCGGGAACTACCGTAAAGTGAGCTCTGTGTCTGCCGAAAGGCTGTTTATGAGGCAGTAAAATCGGAAGCCAAGTTGCCTGCATGCATCTTGGTTAAGATAAGATTCTCCTGAGCAGGGAGCTAAAACATGAGATGATTATGCCGCCTTGGGCAGGAATGGAACCCGGGCCTCCTGGGTGGCAGGCAGGAATTCTACCACTGAGCCACCAACGCTCCAGCTGGTTTCCCAGCCGCTACCACGACGACAGGCTGGTGGTTCCTTTCCAGAGGCCTGGCTGGTTGCCACATAAGCAGACCTACTTCTGCCCCACCCTGTATACGCTGTATGACCTCAAATACACATAATGCAGAAAACACGCCAAAATTGTAACACTGACTGCCTCTTGGTGGGAACAGTCCTGCTTCTTTATATTTTCCCCCCACTTTCCAAATTTTCTAAAACGAGAATAAAAAATGAAAAGATGAAAAAATACTCAGACATCCGTGAAAGTTCACAAAATATGTCTCTGCCTGAGATTCTTCTAATATCTCTCGGAAAGAAAGCTCCTGCCTTGGGAGGCTCCTACTCACTTATCTCCTCAAGTTTTCTTTTTCAAGGAGCTGCCAAAAAAGGTTCCAGCTGCTGCATTGGCCGGGAATCGAACCCGGGCCTCCCGCGTGGCAGGCGAGAATTCTACCACTGAACCACCAATGCTCCAGCTGCGTGCTGCTCTGCCTCCAGCTGTTTTGCTACTGTGGCCCACAGAGGCCAGGCCCCGCTGTAACGTGACACCGGAAAGAATCCGGCATGCCCCACCCATGGGAGGAGGCCCAGGGGCACGTGTGCCTGAAATGCTCAGACAGAGTGGCCATGGGAGAAAACGTGTGTGATTCTTTCGGCTCCTGGGGGGAAGTCCCAGGCTTACAGATCTGAGTAGGCTCCGTATCAATTTACTCTCTGGCTGATTCTGTAAAGGAGAACATCACCCCAAAGTTGACCAGTGACCTCTCAGTGAGGACAGACATCCAAGAGAGAAAAACAGTCAGCTCTAGATGACATTTAGAGGGTCAAACTCCGGACTCCCATCGGCAGAAACATGGTTTTCTTCATGTTACGGAGAAACAAGACAATGATGTTAAAGGAGTCTGAAAGGAGAGCAGCGCCATTTCACTTTTTAAAGACACTGATTCTGACAGAATTCCCACGGACTGACTAAGCCCCCTCTGTGAGGATGACGGGCGCAGTAAGAGCAGCCAGCTTCTGGGTTGCTGCGTGTCTACAGCCAAGATTCAAGAGACCTGTACTGCCACACTCCACCCTTCCCACACAGAAAACAATTTCTGTAGCTGAGCCCAGGGAAAGATTAAGGAGAGGAGTAATGGTTTTTAAAACAAAAGGGTTAAGAGCACAGGTTCTGTAGACAGACTGCCAAGGTTCAAATCCCAACTCTGCTATTTAGCAACTGCCAGGTCCTGGTCGTGTTATCTACCTTCCCGTGTCCGTCTGTAGAATGGGGACAATAGCACTTCCTATCTTATTGGGTTGTCATGAGTTAACATATGGGAAGTAGTCAGTGAGGTCCCAAATCAACTACGACCTCTGGTTCCCTGGTGCCCGGCCTGGGAGGTGGGGGGCAGGAGGCAAAGCCTACTCACCACTGCCTGTCCCCTCCTGCTTCGCCAAGGAGTCGTCGGGGTTGGGGTCTGCCTGCCTCTGCACCGCTGGCTTTGGCTCCTCAGGCTCGTCATCCTCAGGGGTGACCAGCTTCATCAGGCTCTGGTTGCACACGTTGGCCACCTCCTTGATGCCTGGGCCCACTGATGTAAGGAGCATCCCCATCGGGGGCTTCCCTAGCCCGAGTGCACCGGCATCGGTCAGGGCTCGGTCCCCTTCAGAGGCATGTTAGTGGGCAGACAGGCAGTCTGAACAGTGTGCATGTCCTCCTGCCACACCGGTGTCCCCTCAGGATGCTCCTGTGACTTGTAGGGCCCCTTCCCGGTGGACGTCCCACCAACAGGATTTCCCCACCCTGCTGGGCAGTGTGAGCTCGGGTTGGAAGTGTGGGCCCAGGGAGCTGCTCCAGATCTGTAAGCAGGGACAGCTTCGGTACTGTCTTGGCGCTCCCAGTCTGTGTTCAGCAATACCGCCTGTTCCCTTGGTCCCAGGGACTATTTGGAGGTGACCCATCCCAAGGGAGACCCACCCCCACTCCAGGGTCCTGCAGCTTTACAGCGCCCTGTGGGGCTGCTCTCGTTTCCCTTCTCCAGAGCAAAGGATACTTTTCTTGCGGTCGTCGTAGGCCAGGCAGGGCAAGACGGCGGTCAGGATCCCAGAGGAGTAGGGCAGCATGGCCCGGCCGGCCAGCTGGATGAACTCCCTCATCCAGCACATGGCTGTCAGCTGGATCAGGTCGTCTGGCAGAGGGAGGGGAGGGTTCCAGGACGGTCAGCATGAGCAGCGAGATGCTCCCTCCCATGGACCATGCCCACAGAGGGGACTGGGAGGTCCCAAGGGCTTATGCTGCTGCCGGCCTCACCAGTACTCTCTCACCCTTGCTTTCTGCCTCCCCTGGGTACATAGTTTCATGTCGGAATGGAGCAACAACCTGTGGCAGACTGTAAGAGCAGCCACGGTTCTCTACCCCTCTCTACGTCCGTGCCCACCACAATGGGGCTGCCCAGCTGCTCTCATCAAGGGGTGAGCCCATTTCTTCACTCTGGGCTGGCCTTGCCACTTTGGCCAACAGAAGGTGGTAACGTATGACGTGCCTGGTTTAAGCCTAAGCTTCCAAAGGCCTTGCTCACTTCTATATGAGTGCACTGGGCTGCCCTGCTGGAAGAGGACACGTGGACCCACTGTCCCTGCTGCTCCAGGTGACAGCCAGCCAACTACCAGACACGAGGGAGGCTACCCTAGACCACGGAGCTGCAGCTAACCCTCCAGGTGACTGTAGGTGCAGGACCAAGCCCAGCCACACCTCGCCCAGGTGAGCAGAACCACCCAGCGGACGCAGACTCGTGACCAATAGTAAGTCTGCTGTGTCCAGCAGTTACATTTTGCAGTGGTTTGATCCTCAACAGAAGCCGTTTAACGGAAACACAATCCTAACCCCAAGCTTTCAATTCACGGTGCTAAGGCCGGGCTTCCCACCAAGAGGGCCTCCAGATTTTGCACCCTCCCGGGCCCGGCCAAGGAAAGGGCCGCCATGTGGACAGAGAACCCGGATCTCTCTCACAAGGACCCGGCCCTCCTCTGCTGCGGATCCAGGGCTGCGCTGGTTCCCCCCCTACCGGGATTTTCCCAGAGGGTGAGAGAAAGGAGCTCCTGAGAGGGTGGCGGTGCCTGGGCCTTCACACTCACCCGTGGTCTGGCAGTGGATCACCAGGATGTTGGCCATCTCAGCAAACTTAACACTGGAGGGGTTCTTCTTAATTTCTTTCAAGAATTCCCCAAGGACCACTTCACACCTGCCAATGAGAGAGGAGAAGGGGCGTGGCACAGGGCAGCCAGGGCCCATTTCTGCCCTGGGTTGTCCTCCCAGATGGAACGACACTTTGAACTTGTCAAATGAATGTTTTTCAGAGGCGGGGGGCTGAGCTCTTAGCTCCTCCTGGTGGGAAGCACATAAGCAGGAAGAAAAGCAGCAACTTCTTATTCTGCTGCCACCTGTCTGTTAGTGTGGGATACGTGTGCGCACTGAGGGGCCCCGGACGGTGGCAGCTGCTTGCCTCCTTCCTCCACTCACATTTTCCGAATCTCTTTGCCGTTGTCACCCAGGATCTGGAAGAGTCCATCCAGGATCTCTGGCAAATAATCCAGCAGGTTAATGTCTGGCACGGACTCCAGAACCAGGATCTGACCCAGGGGAAGAAATAGGAGGGAATGTTACACCAGCCCGGAACCATCGTCTCCTCCTCCCCCACCCGCTGGGCCTGGGCAGTGACGAGGAGCCCTGCTGAGGCAGCATTTCCTGGCCCTGCAGGTGCCCCCCTGCACATGCGGGCGGAAGGTGCTAGCAGCTATGGCTTTGGTTAAAAGTGCAGGGGTATAGTAATGTAACCACCAGGAAATTCAGATGCCATGGGGGAGCAGGGAGTACATGGGAAGGGACAGACAAACTAAAAGAGGTGTGACAGCCAGAAGTAGCCCACTGGCTTTCAAGGGAAACTGGAGTTTCTCAGAAAAAGGAAAGAATTGTATCCTCACCAGGGACAAGCTGAATAAACGTGTGTTCAGATTATCTGGCATCACTGGCTATGAGATTAATAATGAGGCTCCTCTGCAGCCACAGGACCTGGCCAGGTGTCCAGAGAGGAGATGTGACCAAGCCAGAGGCTCGTCACGGCTGGAGAAAGTGCGTGGGGCCGGCCCTTACCCATGAGATGATGAACTGCCGGGCGTACTGGTTGTTGGAGTAAATCCTCTCCCGCAGCAAGGGGATGAAGCCCACCAGGTCAAACTTGTTGCTCTCCGTCACGATGTCCTGTGGATCAAAGGTGCGTGAGCTGCGGAGTGAGCCAGAGGCAGGGGCTGCCTGACCTGGCCCAAGTCCTGCCCAGGGCTGGCTCCAGGGGTCAGGCAGCCCCAGAGGAAAACGGGTGACAGAACGATTCTGTATTTTGCTTGTGCTGGTGACATAAGTCCATACACTCATCAAGCCCAGCCAAGGTAAGGATAAACATCCATTAACTGTACATCAAAGAGTGACTTTTACTGCATGTAAATGAACAAATTTAAACAAATTAGGAAGAGTGTCCCAGTGATAGAATTTATAAGTTGTACAGACACATGTGAGAAATAGATTCTAGAAAGAAAAGTGGGGATCGAGTACAAATACCTTTAAAAGGCGGTCTAGGAGCTCAGATCCGCTTTTCACATTGGGGTCTGGGTCAGCAGCCAACTACGAGAGACACAGAGGAGAGAGATGGCAGAGGTCAAGACATCAATGGAAAACCCACCGCCAGGCCCTGGCGCAGCTCGGAACAAATCGAAAGAAGGCGGGGGAAGTGGGGATGGGCAAATGGGACCCGGCTAAGGAACTGAGATTGGGTGGGCATCCCGTTCTGTCAGGGCCTTCTGGGACCTGCAGGAAGTCCCATAACCCGCTGCCCCTGGGCCAGGAGGCTGCTTCCTGTCGGCCTTTCTCAGGGTTTTGGATCTTAACTTGCTGGGTCCGCCCTCCACTCTGGGAGGAGGGGACCAAGGCAGCTGTGAGGCTGATACCCCAGCAGTGACTATGGCATCAGCTTGGTGCCTGGGAGGGAGCTCCACGCACTGAGAGTGGAGCGGAGGAGGGCCTTAGGGACTCCAAGGCCTTCCTACATAGCGCTTCTCCTAGTGCTCCCGGGCTAGTGCTCTCCCACAGGGGAAATACAGTCTGTATACGGATGCACCACCTTCACCTTCTACAGGGAAGTTTAGGCTTTTCCAAACTATCAGCTTTCCCCTCCAAGCTGCGGTGGACTGGTACTTTCATAAAATGCAGTAAGGGTAAATTAACAGAGAAATGGGAAAATATGTAAATACAAGCCCGTTAAAAAAATCACTAGATCGAACAGACAAGTGTCCCTGGCAACTATGTGTTCCTCTGCTCGGCCTGCATCTGGGAAAAGGGGCCCAAGCCCTCAAGTCCTGGAAGGTCAAGTTAGAGGGGTGGAGCGAGCTCAGCCCGGCCAGAGTGAGGAGCGGTCACCTTACTCAGCCCGTCAAAGAGCACGTTGAAGTGGGGCAGCACGGCGCCCCGGGCCACCTTGACGATGTTGTAGAGGGCCTCGCAGGCGTAGTAGCGCAGCCTGCTGTCGGCGTCATTGAAGCAGGTCAGCACCGGCTCGATCAACTCCTTCAGGTAGAGCCCTGAGTCCTGGGGTGGGGAGGAGGAGAAACAGGTCAAAAAAGGCCAGCCCCTAGCCCCCCAGGCCCCGGTGCCACCTGACATCCCAGGTCTTTGAGTGGGGCTAGGTTTAAAGACTCTTTCCAGGTTGGCCTCCCAGGGAATAAGGCTGCAAGACCTTGCTGCTTTAGGGTGGAGAGAACGGCAATAAACACAGGTCTGCAAAGCCCTGTAGGGTCTCGGGTCAGAGTCAAGGCCATGACTGGTGTGTCTGTCTCTCCGGGAGAAAGGCCCACCTTGCCCAGCGCGATGGAGCAGGCAGCCAGGCCGATGAGGCCCCCTTTCCGACTGTGGGGGTGCTGAGACAAGGCAAACTCCTGAGACAGGGTCTGGATCACATGCTTGATTTGCACGGTGTTGTTCTGGGCCACGAACTCCCGGACCAGCCTGGAGAGAGAGGGAGAGGGGCTGCAGGACCAGTGCCACCAGCCTATCCCGGCTGCTGCTTCAGGGCCTGGGGCTGGCAGGAGGGGGAGAGATGACCAGTTTAGAACGAGGAGTTGGGAGCAGGCATGTCAGGGGAGGCCTTTCCCAGGTCTGCTGCTGTCTGGGAGGTGCTGGCTGGGTCACAGTTGTTCCCTATTTTGGGTCTCAGTTTCCCTTTGTGTACAACAGAATGAGGAACAGTGGGGGCATCTCACTTCTGGGAATCTGGCAGAATGCAAGTGAACGGGTCTCAGTTTCCCTTTGTGTACAAGAGAATGAGGAACAGTGGGGCCATCTCACTTCTGGGAATCTGGCAGAATGCAAGTGAACGGGTCTCAGTTTCCCTTTGTGTACAAGAGAATGAGGAACAGTGGGGCCATCTCACTTCTGGGAATCTGGCAGAATGCAAGTGAACGTCTTGTTGGAGAACAAAAACGACAATAAGCGTTGTCAGTTGATCAGCCATCTTTATTCAACAGTTGCTCAACCCTCCCTTCGGGCACGCCAGAGGGCCAGAGGTTCTCTGGGTCTGAGTCATTATTTCCAGGGATGGTGCTGAACCAGGTCCCCGTCCAATGGGCAAGGTCCACACACAAACAAGCACGAAACTGTAGCAGTGTGGCCACAGAAGCCACATTGATGTTACAGAAGCAAGAAAAATGCCACGGGCTAACTTTCTTGGGCTGCCTGGCAGGTGCCATTTGAGCCAGATCTTAGGAAGATCAATAGGCATTTTTCAGGTAAAGGGAGAGGAAGGCATGGCACCATATCGCAGGGACAGGGAAGCAAAGGCAAGGAGCTCTGAAAAGACATCAGGTTTAGGGAAGGACGAGGAGTCTGGTGTGCGGAAGGAGTGACCAGAGACAGTTACAGGAAAGGACAACCTGGTGCCAGTTTTCCAGCAGTGGGGTGACAGGCTCAGATCCGGGCTGTAATGCGGTGCTTCTGCTGCTAGCCTGGGAAGGCTGGGCTGACAGAAGGACAATGAAAATCCCCACAGGAGAGCCCCACAGCGAGCAGGGTCCGGAAGGAGAGGCTGAGTGTGGCTGAGGCCAGGGGAAAGAACAGGGACTGTTTTACTTTCTACTACGCCTGCGAGGCCCTCTACAACATCGCCTGCCACGCGGGAGGCCCGGGTTCGATTCCCGGCCAATGCAGTGCTGTTCTTTTTGCCTCTCCCTGGGAAGCCCATGTAATACGGGAGAGGAAGTATAGATATGGCTCCAAGGTGTCTACCTGGTGAGGGATGCTAACAGGGAGCAGGGCGGTCTGGGCTCATGGCGCCTGTGGTCACCTAGGGGATGCTCCCAAGACAGCCCTGCCCGAGTGGGGGAGAGTAGAGGAGGCTCAGGTCCACTGGGGACCAGACTCTGTTTTCAGAGCCCAGTGGCCACAAAGGCCGACATACTATGTCCTTCAGAAAGAGTATGAAGAAGCCCGAGATGGATGGGGAGGGGAAGACCATCCATTATCGAGGCACAAGGGACCAGTGCAGCAGATGAAGGTGGGATGAGGGCGGTCTGGGGATTAGGGACTTTTTGAAGCAGCTGCCTAGACTCTCTGTCTGATCACTTTGTGCTCATCATGGCAGGTATACTGCTTTCCTGTTGCATAAATGGGGGTCTCAAGTTTGCTTGAAGAATTTTAAAGACCATCAAGTCCGAAAGGTACCCATTAGTCTATGTGGTTCCAGCTCAGTGTCAGGAACCTGCTAGTAATTAGGGCTGATCAAAGATAAACATGCCATCCTATGAGGCAGTGACCTTCCTGCAAAAACGCTGTTCAATGAGGGGTTGGCCAGGGCTTGGTAGAGATTTAATGCAGCAAGCTGTATGGGGCACCTCTTCTGTGCCGGGCACTGTGCGAACAGGTGAACAAAACTGGCTGGTTCCTGAGCCGGTGGATGTGAGAGCAGAGCCGGGCATGTCTGCAAGGGGCTGTGCAATGGCCTGTGAGGTGCCTCTTCCTTTGATCTTTAGAGATGAGATTCCACCAAACCCACCCAGGGACTGAGGTTATGGATAAATCAAGGGCCTCCTGGTGGAAACTCAATGTCAGTTTCATAGGTTCCCCCCCGCCCCCGCCTCATCCCACAGCAGTATAAGGCCCAGCAAGGGCGGTTCTATATAAACCAGTCTGGCTTTCCAAACAGGACAAACCAGCCAGGTGAGGCCGACATCAGCCAGGCCTCTTCTGTGCCTCAATAAGATACAGTCCCCTGAGAAAAGCCCTGAAGATGCATCAGCAAACAGCTAGAGCATTGGTGGTTCAGTGGTAGAATTCTCGCCTGCCACGCGGGAGGCCCGGGTTCGATTCCCGGCCAATGCAGTGCTGTTCTTTTTGCCTCTCCCTGGCAGGTTTCCTCCTCACACAGAGGTCCGGCTGGAGGAGCCAGTCTCCTCAACCCTGCCTGGCCTGGGCCTGCAGCAGCCCAAGGGCTGTGAACCTGACCACACTTCCCTGCTCAGAGTGCGTGAGCAGCACTTAGGTTCTCCAGAGGCACTGCTGGCTGTGGTACGAGGCCCTCATGCCCTTCACCAGTGAGGGGACTCCTGCTGCGCCCCCTCAACCTTGGCCAGTTTCCGGCAGGAAACTGTGGTGAAATCCGAGAACCTTAAAACAGCTCAACAAACATGTGGACATGGAATGGAAGGACCCACCCATTAGAGACATCAGAGGGGAGAAAGTCACCCAAGTTGCAATGTGCTTTTTGCTACTGAGGACTTGAGCTCTAGTTTCTGTCCTGAGGTCTGAAGGCACATTTTTCTCTCTCACTCTCTCTCTCTCCCTCTCTCTCTCCTGCCTTCACATAGGCTTCCTGTTCTTCCAGCTATGCTGATGTGGCAGATTTACAGCCTGGCCTTATGTTTCGAGTCAGTATATATCCAGTCAGGACTGGAATTAAAGGGAGGTGCTCACACAGCTGCTGACAGCTGGAGCATTGGTGGTTCAGTGGTAGAATTCTCGCCTGCCACGCGGGAGGCCCGGGTTCGATTCCCGGCCAATGCAGCAGCAAACTTTTTAAACCCTAAGAGGTTGAATTTGAGATCTCACACTGCCTAAGGAATTAGTGAATAGTCTGAGAGCTGAGAATGACTTGTATTCCACACAAATCTAGAACCTGTGTTTCCTTGTTCTTGAGGAGTCCAGGGGGAAATCATCAGGGCCCCGGAAACAGCTGGGCCTCCCTCTTGCCCGACAGCCTGCTGGGAGCTCTGCCTGCCAACAGCATGCCCAAGGAGGCTGGGCCATGCTTCTGCTCTGCACAGGTCAGACTGAGCAGCACCAGGGTGGGAGTGAGGCTATGGTCTCAGCGGGGGATCCAAACACCCAGCCCTGCAGCAGCACAGGCCATGCTGGAAACTCTCCTCCTTGTTTCAGGTCACAAATGGTCCCTGAGCGACTGGGAAGGGCACTCTTGCCTGTTCCAAGCCAGGCTCCGGGATACATTTCCTGCCCTTGAGGGGCTCAGGTGGAGTGTGGGGAGAGAAAACAAGAGAGTTCACAAGAAATTTCATGCAAAACAGAAAAAGAAAACACCTTTGGTGAGAAGAGTGCAAGGTGAGGAGGGAACCGGCAGGAAAGAGAATGACTAGCATCTCTGGAGGAAAGGGAATTAGGTGTGGCTCCGTGAGGGCGAGCGTTTGATGGGGTTCTGCGGGACGAGTAGGTGCTCATTCCGGAGCTGTTCAGGACCAAGCAGCCCAGACAGAGGAACAGCATGAACAAAGGCTCGGAGGACGGGAGAGGCATTTGGTTTGGCAGAGTAAAGGGCACAGGTGGAGGAGACGCTGCCAGGCCAAGGAACTGGAACTGAATTCTGGTGGCAGTAAGGAGCCCCGGAGGGTAAGAGTGATCTGCAATGGTGAGTGGTATGGATTTGAATGGTGTTTAGGGAGCTTTGAGGACCACAAAGTCTCACAGGACTGAATGATGAAAGAGTATGAGGAACAGGGCTGTAATGTCGGGGTAACAGCTTGTAAGAGTAATGGGGTCTCTGGGAGGAGATGGGGAAGGGGGATCTTTGTGCTCACCACTCCCCCAACTGTGCAGGCCCAGCAGCACCTCTCATTTGCTCTACACCAGCTGGACGGCCACGTCCACCCTGAATCCAGGGCTTAACTCAGGACACCCCAGGCCACTGCTGAAATCCTGAGGTCCCAGAACCCCATCTCTACTGTCTGCACCTTGAACGTAGGGACAGAAAAGTCTCATGTCCAGGAAGACAAGGCAAACACTGACAACGGTTCCCTCTGGAGGGAAAACCGTGAGAACACGTTCTCACTCACCAATGCCATCCGCTCAGAGAGCTCTGGGTCAACCTCTGGGCCACAGCAGGAAGGGCTATGTCATGGATCAAGCCCGCACTCCTTACCAGGCACTCAGGGCGACGCAAACAGGGCCAGGCTTCCCTCTCTAGTCTCAATGCCCAGATGCCAGGCATAACTTTCCACTCCAGCCAGACACACCTTCTCTCTGGGCCCAGCTCATTCTACTCCTTATACGCTTCCCTTCTGCCCCACATCCTACCCAGCCTTCAGAGCCCAGCTCAAATCCACCCCCTGCTTTTCCTGACCATCCCAGGAAGAGCTCACTCCTCGGAACACTGAAGGACTCAGGACTCCTCATTCTGGGCCCAATGAGGCCCTGGTGAAGCCACTCCTGCGTACATTTCTGTCTCCATAGCTCCCTGAGGAAGTCCTTTAGGACAGACCGGTGCCGGGATTCCTTGCATCTCTGAACACTGAGTGAGGAATCAGGAAGCACCACCAGGGGATGGATCTGTGACAGCCAGCGGCTGCAGGACGGCACCAGGTGCAGGCAAACAGGCAAAGCTCTGCTGCCGCACTGGTGACACTGGAGGGGATCTGCTAAGCTAAATCTAACCTGTTGGGTTCATCAGTATCGTTTTCAGATGGTCCTAAGCCAGCCGTGGACAAACTACGGCCCGCGGGCCGGATCCGGCCCATTTGAAGTGAATAAAACTAAAAAAAAAAAAAAAAAGACCGTACCCTTTTATGTAATGATGTTTAC